AGACAATTAACACCAAATGAGAATTTGAATATGATTGATTATTGTCAATTTACTATGCAAAGCTTGATGGAATGTTCTGAAATTGTAGGAGGATTAAAAAGGTAATTGCATTATAAAATCAATATGTCTAAATAATATGACTGGAGACCAGTCTTATACATATCTATTGTCTTTTTTTATACACCCTTATTACCTGCAAAATCTTACGTAAATGAAAATGTAAAATCCCAAGATGCCCTAATTATATATATATATCATCTAATATTGCACAAAGCTCAGCTTTGGTAAAAACTAAAACCTTTCAAATTGCTACAGATAATTTAGTAAACATGACTTCCACCAGTAGTCATCATAAAAACACTACCTTACAAAAAGTGGTATTCATAAAAATAAAAATAAGATGTTATACTCTGTTGTGAAAACAGATAACACAATTTCAATCCATCTATTCTCCTAATCATATTTGCTGCAAATCTTGAAAGTTTTGTAGAAATACCAGATGTAGAAGATATTGAAAAAGCAGACTTGCAAGAATCAGATCATAGATATAAAATTCGTGCTGATATAATAAAAATGTTTGAGCACATCATAAAGAAAACATTGTATAAATATAATGAAATAAATTTGTCAAATGTAGATGTTACAGCGCAATGCTGCAGCTACATATGTGGGCAGGATGTGTCCAGGCGCATGCGCCCAAGATACTTTCCTGATGCAGTGCTACATTAGGTGAGAAGATACAAAGGAAGACAAGGCATTCAAGGACATATCTAATACACAAAATGTAGGTCTTTGGGGGCGGTAGCATACATATATATATATATATATACGTTATATATATATATATATACGTATGTATGTCTATATACATACATATAAAATATAGTTTAATATAATATATATATATATATATTTACATAATGTGTAGCATGTATCATAATGATTCTTCTTGCATGCGTATAGCATATATATATATATATACTGATAATCTCATATATGCATAATTACATATAAACTTACAAAATCATGTAAATAAATATATATATATATGGTTAGATGTCACATGACACGTGACTCAGGATCGCAGGTGACGCATGACATATGCATGGCATGACTATATACCTTCGTTTAGTGCATCGTGGTACTGGTGTATTCCCATAGGTCAAGAGCCTCGGGCGTGATTTCCAGCCAGCTGCCACGATGAAACCACAGCTCCACCTGAGGTCTGGTCGGACGTTCAGCACCTTTGGCAGCAGTCTAGAAATGACACCATACAAAAAGGATTTGTTCAAAGAAAAGGCAGTGGTTTGTTTTTTTAAACGTAATATATGAATATTGCACGTTCAATACATTCTAATGATTTCCGATGTGGAAAACTGAAACAAATCTCATGAAATTTTGTTTTTATTCCAATGATTTTTGAAGTTTTTGGGGGGTCCGTCCAGCAAGGAGCCATCAGGAGCAGGTCATCGTTGAATGATAGTTGATTGATAGTTCAATGATAGAATTGCAAACTATTCAATGGATTGGTTGAAGGGAAATTCTACAGGAAACCTTGGTATTTCCCATGGAATATATATATATATATATACATATAATCACTACCCTCTTGGCGCCCCGGACCCCCCCCGGGGGGTAAAAAACGTAACATACATTATTACATTTTTATACCCCCCCTAGAAATATAGGGGTTTGGGGGGGGGGTAAAAAATGTAACATGGGCATTGTAGGGGGGTACACCTGCTATGTTACATTTTCCAACCCCCCCCCATGAACAGCCACGGAAATACTTTTGGGGGGGGGGACCCTAGGGGGGTAGAAATTGTAACATATCTCCGTGAGGTACCCAAACAATATATGTTACTTTTTTGGGTCCCCCCCCCTCCCCTATCACCCCGCTATAGCTCTACATAGCCCTACCATAACCTACATTAACCTATCAACATCATTTTACATATGCGCACGCGCATCGCAAATCTTAGGGTCTTTGGGATTGATAGGTCGAAAATGTAACATGGCCATGGGAGGGCCCCCAAACGCTGCAAAAACACAGTAATTCCCTACCCTAGCCCCTGCATGTTACATTTTACATACGCGCATACGCATCATCGCGCATTGCAAATCGCAGGGATCAACAGGTCGAAAATGTAACATGGCCATGGGAGGGCTCCCCAAGCTTGCAAAACACAGTAGTTTCCTACCCTAGTCCTTGCATAATACATTTTACATACGTGCACAAGCATCGCAAATCGCAGGGATCAACAGGTCCAAAATGTAACATGGCCATGGGAGGGCTCCCCAAGCTTGCAAAACACAGTAGTTTCCTACCCTTGTCCTTGCATAATACATTTTACATACGTGCACAAGCATCGCAAATCGCAGGGATCAACAGGTCCAAAATGTAACATGGCCATGGGAGGTCTCCCAAACCCTGCAAAAACACAGTAATTCCCTACCCTAGCCCCTGCATAATACATTTTACATACGCGCATGCGCATCATCGCGCATCGCAAATCGCAGGGATCAACAGGTCGAAAATGTAACATGGCACTGGGAGGGCTCCCAAACCCTGCAAAACACAGCAGTTCCCTACCCTAGCCCCTGCATGTTACATTTTACGTACGCGCACAAGCATTGCAAATCGCAGGGATCCACAGATCAAAAATGTAATATGGCATTGGGAGGTCTCCCAAACCCTGCAAAAACACAGTAATTCCCTACCCTAGCCCCTGCATAATACATTTTACATACGCGCATGCGCATCATCGCGCATCGCAAATCGCAGGGATCAACAGGTCGAAAATGTAACATGGCACTGGGAGGGCTCCCAAACCCTGCAAAACACAGTAGTTCCCTACCCTAGCCCCTGCATGTTACATTTTACGTACGCGCACAAGCATTGCAAATCGCAGGGATCCACAGATCAAAAATGTAATATGGCATTGGGAGGGCTCCCAAACCTTGCAAAATACAGTAGTTTCTTACCCTAGTCCCTGCATGTTTCATTTACCTAAGTGCGCACACATCTCATCGAGCGTGAAATTTCACGAGGCGTAAGTAACTTAGGACTTGGAGCCTTTTGGATATCATCAGCATTGTCGATGTTTTCATGTATCTTCAGGTCTGCCTAAGGTCTGCCTAAATAAAAAAACACAAACAAATAAACAATGAGGGAGAGGATGGGAGAGGAGTCAATGGCTTTCCATGGCTTTCCTATTTTTAAATGGTGATGCTCAGGCCTTGTCGGGACTTGTCAAGACGCCAAGACATGCCAAGACCACAGAACTTTCGAAGAAATCCGGGGATTGCAGCAAGCATCCATCCTCAAACATGTCAAACGTAGATAGATTCAAAACCTGGCTTTTTCCGTGGCCTATTTGGTTGGAGCAGACCCTTGGCCACGGGAATTTTGGTTGTGAGAGACCCGAGGGGATATAATATATAAAAATATCATGAAATATATAGACTTAATGATACATAATGATACTATTACCAATAGGAGGGCTATGGAGGGCTATTTTTTGGGAAATATATCAAACACCAAAAAAATGTAATATATCAAACACCCAAAAAATGTAACATACATTTTTCAGGTTGGGGAGTCGGATCTTGTAATTCTTTATTCAAACCACCCAAAAAATGTAACATACATTTTTGAGGTTTATCTTTACAAATTTGATTTATAAATTTGTTTACCCGGCCTAAAAATGTAATGTAACATTTTTACGTTTACTTCATGAATTTGGGTAAAACAACCTACATATATGTGGATATATGTGGTATATAGCCAGGGTCCCGAAACCCTGCATAATGGCACTCCAAAAATGTATGTTACATTTTTTACCCCCCGGGGGGGTAAGACGGTCGTGATCATATATATATATACATATATATATAGGGGTGTCCTGCAAATTTTCCCTTAAACCAACCAATTAAACTATGAACATATAGAAATGCCAGTTAGCATGCAGTTGTTGAATGATATGTTGCAACAATGGTTCAACTATTTGGAATGAAATCTTAGAGTAATCAACAGATCGAACAATAATCATGGGAATGCAGGTGTCGATGAGTGTTGTAATTTTGCTTGATATCATTAATGTACATTAATATTTGTTGACGATGACTTTGGAAAGACACAGATGACTAGGCCAGAACACAATGCAGCCATTTCCCCAATCCCACTACCCCCAGCAAGGACAATCACAGCGGCTAATTAACATTTGAGGTAGTCAACTACCCATACAAATGGATAAACATGCATTCACATGAGGTGAAATATGTTGAAGTACCAATGATATTGAATCAGATACCCATTCCTATGGGCATGAGGGGGTCAAGGTCAATGTCCTCACATTGTTTTTGGAGTTGTTTTTTCGCAATGTCTTTTGCAATAGACAACAACTCAACTTTTTCCATTCGCAGTATATAGATCCAATTTAAACAATTTAGGCGGTACCTTGCCATGCACCTGGGACAAAGAAACTGTCAAAGTGTTTGCCTCAAAACACTGCTAATCAATAAGATCATCTCAAATAGATACCCTCCTGTAAACCTTTACATAGATGTGGAAAAACCACCAATTCTAGATCTTTTTCCTAGGAAAACCCATGGATATCTATGATTGTCTGTTGCCTGAGGCATCCTCGGCAGCAGCTGGACCAGTTTCTGGGGAGATTATCCACTGCCACCCAAATTGAATCTCGACAAATGGGGCGCGAAACGGCGAGAACCTATGAGCCTGGTTTGTGGGTCACGGATTATTGGGGATCGACCCAAGTGAACTTTGAATGGATGTGGGGATGGTGACATATGGAAGCCTCAGGGAACCAAGGATGCATGTCATGTAGGAGTTAACATTAGGTTCCTTTTCCGAAAACTGAATGGTCTCAGGCGGAAAGAGAAAACGTAAGATTCCGTAAGCCTGCTCAAGCGATCCCAGTGATAAGGCTAACTGGCCAGTCAGTGCAATCAGCCGGCACAACCTGTGAATCAGCATAATGAAGTCGTTGTTGTTGCTGCTTGCAATCTTCTTTGGAGCTGAAGCAGAGTCCCAAGGCATTCAAAAGCTTTTGGCTTATGCGCGTCAGCTCAATCAGACCTTGGGCTCTCTGGCCGGCCTCACGATGCGCCGCTTGCAGACAACCATAACAATCCCTCCAATGCCATCAGGATGCCCAGCAGCGTGCGACGAAATCCAATGCGCCTACGACTTAGCAGCAGCGACAAATGAGGCGATGAACGGAGGTTACCCGAGGTTACCCGGTGCCCACCAAGGCCAGCATGCTCGGCTATATGCTTCCATCGGAGCGCCATCACTTGTGCTGCTTCCTCAGACTGGGGCTGATGGCTCCAGACCCAAGGTCCGATCTTGCGCCTTGCTTCTGCGCTTGCCCCAGCTTTCCCAAGATCAAGGAAGGATTTGATCCCTTGAACACCCTGAGCGGCCTCCAGCAGTTCCAATCAGATGTGGGCACCCTACCGGCGGAACAGCTGGATAGGTTCCTAACGAATCTGTGCCCCGTGTTGTCTATTCTTGAGTGCGAAACTCTGTATGCTCTTCGGTCCATGGCGACGGCAATGCTCCCGTGGGATTGCCGACCATCAGGTCCCAATGTGAAGCAGCCAGTAGGCCCACATCGTACACTACATCCTACAGTTTCACATCACCAAATGGGTGTGCTGGTGGGAAGACTGAGAGCGGGAGCGGCGCAGTTGGGTTGCTGCAGCTGAACTTGCTGGCAGGTGCCTTTTTCTTGCTTTCCATTCTCAACTGAATGTGGGGAAAATAAGAGCAAACCACTGGCAGTGGCGCAGCTGGTTATTGCATGTTATTGCTTGTCCGATGGACCATGCAGCTCAAAGTGGTTCCCCTTCAAAATCACAGGTGGAGTCAGACTTTCACACTAGCAAGATCTTAAAAGAACAAGCCTGCATGGCTTCTCGAGGGTACTGGATCCATTGGCATCCCCACTGTGAGATTACTAAAAAGTTGGGATAATCTTGGGAAATGACCAACATTCCCCGAGGACATGCGGATGTTTCATGCCTACTTGATACGACGATCCCACGTCACTCAGACGGACAGGAGCCACCTGTTTTTTGTCCCAAAAGAACACATGTAAAAATGCGGAAACTGATCAAAACGATGATAGTGAGGGATTTTCCACGCATGTTCAGACAACCAAGGTGGACCAACGCAGATGGCTAGGTTGGTTTTGAACTTGGTGAACTATAGGTTTTATGCATATGTATCATGATTTACTGTATGTATGTATATATATATATATATTGATATATCTGTAGTAAAATGGGGTGTATAAGGCAACTTATAATAACTGGGGGGCACCACCTGGAACCTATCCTTCAGAGGATCAATCATGCGTCTTGTTAGACCAGCGTCACCACGTCTCAGGAGAGACAAGGTGGAGTTGGGCCCCTTACTGGGCAGTGGAAGCTCCTTGGTGTGGAACAAATCCAAAGCTGAGTCCCAAGTGTAATTCTTGACGTACTCACTAAAAAGACAACAGCTGTATACAGCTGTGCGTTTCTTGATTTCAGACTCTGATCCTCAACAGAACATGGGCACAACAAACATGCGCATTTGAGCATTAGCCTTTGTACTCATACCCATGGTGACAATATGTGATAACTATATGTTTAATTTTGTTTGCCATGACGTACCCTTTGGTAATCTCAAGTAGTCATGGAACATGGGTGATCATTGGTGAGGTGATATATTTGAAGCTTAACCACAAACCTCCACGCTGGGCCGTCTCACGGCGCCAGGTTTCGGCAAGGCATATCGGGCCACGATGGCAAAGGATTGCAGGGATGGAGGATGTGGATGACATTGTGGGCTGTGGTTTGCCCAAAAACTTATGACATGTTTCAAAAAATCAAGAACAACATATTGATATCAATTATATATATACACATGTTTTATATACATTATTATATATATATATTATATATATATTATATATATATTATATATATTATATATATATATATTATATATATATGCAATCTATAGTGCATGATATGTGGTTTTCCAGCACTCTGCTGGCACCCTGGGATCCCACAGCGGATTTGTCCAGCCATTGGAATGACATTGTAACGGTGAAGGCCACGGGAAAAAACCATAGATTTGATAGAGAAAAAAAACAAGGGATCTGAAATGTGGGGTTTTCCTAAAATATGGGGACTCCCAGTTCTCATCCATTTATAGATGGGTTTCCCATTATAAACCAACCATTTGGGCTGTTCCAGGAAGAAGCCTGTGCCGTGAAGGTGGTGGATTGCCGCAAGTGCCCCAGCCGCGCAAGATGGCCTCCGATGCCCTCCAAGATGGAGATATGGAGGTTGCAACAAAAACAATGACAAATACCCTATAATACCCTCTGGTAAACATACAAAAAGCTATTGAACATGGCCATTTATAGTGGATTGTCCCATTCAAAATGGTGATTTTCCATAGTTATGTTAGTTTACCAGAGGGTAATGACAATTTTACCAACAAAAATGGCAGCTTGACTGGGCAAAAAAACCTTTCAAGGTGATATCTTTTTCACGGTTGAAGTTTACCACATAATTTTACCAAGATGGAGGCATTTCTATGTGAAGACACTGGGGTGGTTGTCCCAAAAGCATGGCCCAATCAACCAGCGATACAACAAACACATATTGCAATTTGACTGAACCAAATCTAATGATTTGAGTCATCGAAGTCAGAAGACATAGAAGACATGAGCATTTACTATATCCAGCTTGGAACCCAACGTGATCCGTATATTGCCAGTGCCCTTTGCGAGTTTAGATTATGTTTAAGAGCAGATGAACATATGGTGACCACCCAGCAGAACAGATTTTAATGGTGTCCAGTTCAATCGTTCAATTTCAATCAATTTCAGACTTCCAATCGGAGCTGAAAACAAAGGTTTATCATGGTTTAGCCGCATCTCAAGAATTTACTAAGGGTATATCTCGTGTTGAACAATCGAGAGTTTGACAGGGGTTAGCATGATCTGAGTTCCCCGAAATGATGTTGTTGCGTCAGAATTTAGGTGCTTTACATTGCTTTACCCTTGTGAAAATCTTACCAGCAAACTCTGAGGGTTGTTGAATATTTAGTTTTGTCATGTTTTTGGTCATGTTTTTTTCGTTTGGTTTTGTCATTCTTTTGTCGTTTGGTTTTGTCATTGTTTGTAATTCCTATTTTGCGGTGGCATTGTTTTGTCATTTTTTGCCATTTGGTTGTCATTTTTTGTCATTGTTCTGCCATTTTGTTGTCATTTGTGTCATGTTTTTGGGAGTCATTGTTTAAGGTGATTTTTGCATTTTCCCGTACCCAAAATGACAATAAAATGACTGACAAACAAATGACAGCAACATGACATAAAAATGAGAAACACATGACAAATAAATGACAACGCAAATCCATAATGACAAACCTGAACGACAGAAAAAATGATAACAAAATGACACCAAAATGACACCAAAATGACCAAATAGTTATTTTTGATTTTCCAGTCTTTGCAGGCCCAATATTTTCCTAACTTTACCCTCTGGTCATTTAACATAGCAAACTGGAAAATCACACGAACGTTCACACGTCATTCACCATGTTTATCATCGAACCAAATAGTCCATGGTTTCCATAGCTAATTGTTCCCATAGCTATGTTAAATAACCATAGATAACCGAAAGGTATGAAGTTTGATTTTGATTCAATATTATATAATTTCGGCACCCAGATCCAACAGATAAGAGTGCCATCACTAGAGACCTCCAAATAACAACCCAACATACCTTAGCGTTATCATGCTTTGTATTTATGACATTACGTGAATTGACATTATATATATGATTATAAAATATTATTTATGTATATAATACATATTGTATTATTATTGTCATTAATATTGTTATTATTATCGTTATCACTATAACAATAATACTATTGATCATGGTAATAATAACATAATGTTATGAAATGTATAATAGATATGATTACAATTGCCTTGTTTTATCCATACACAAATGGTTTTGCCTGGGTACCTTCCCAGCCGATGTCCAGGCGAGAGGATCACGTGATTCAGGAACAACTCCGAGAGGTGGGCCATGGAGTTTATTTACAGCCCGAGTGCTGTATAAGATCGGTCCCCGTCCAGGGTCCATCAAATTCTTAATTTCAATTGTCACGATTCTAGGACAAGGTGATGGTCCCTCGATGTCCCTCGAATTCTTGTCACTTTCTTGATTTAGCACTGGATGCAGTGCCACAGGCCCAAGGTTGCAAAAACAGTTTTATATATATATATATACTGGCTGGAAAGTTCTTTTTGGGGTTTGGTGGTTTCAGTAGTGGCCCAAGGTTGCAAAAGCCGCTTTGCACGGCGTGGAAAACTGTACTAGCCCGAGGCCCCGAAAAAAACGCAGTGGGGGCATAATTCCACTTTACCACAATACTGCAATACGTTGCCCAGCACTCCGACATACCGAGTATACAATCGATACTACAATTATAACTTTTGGTATAGTAACGAACTAATGTAGCCTCTAAAATATAGTTGGCCGAGTCCCTCAAATTCTTATACAGTCAGTACTTGCTCGGTATCCTTTGGTCATTTAACATAACTATGGAACATGGCCCTAAGCCATAACATACACCCGTTATAAGCCATAGGTATAGGAAGGGATTATATTATAGACATCATGTAGGCAGTTTAGTTCTACGTATGTATATATAGTTCTACAATTATCCATGTACTGTATCACGTACCATGAGCCCAGTTTAGTTATCCATATACCCACTATTACTTATATACTACGTAACCCCTGTTTATATACTTCTAAGCACTTGCAGTAACTATATATCCCCAGTTGTCAGTTATAAGCCGTTAGATATAATCTTTAGTATCTATACCTAGCTTAGTCAAAACCAGAGTCACTACACTACTTACAAGCCATTACTTTTAGTAATTAGCCAGTGGTAAACCTATTGTCATAAACCATCCCCAAGTCACCATTTGGGTCGGATTCCAACCATTCCCAAATGGTAGGATTACGGCATTGGGTTTACCACGTTACCCAGTTCTTAGTACGCCAAGTTACGCCAACTAGGTTCAGCTCAGCGCTTCTATGAGCCACGAGAAGGTGGTGAAGATATTGGACTACGCTGCGCGGGCAAAACTGCTGGGTTTACCCATGACGGGTGATTTGACCATCAATGATGGTAATTTTACTTTCAATGATGGTATCACTGGGTGATTTGACTATCATTTTTGTATGATGGTGATCTGACCATGCTGAATTTTCTAGTAATGATAGTAAGTTGACTATCAATCATGATGGTATGATGAGGGATATAATATAATGATAATCGGTTTCATCGGGATATACCCCTAAATCCACTGGTGAATCA